ATCAATAGCAAACACTCCAGTCATGGGAATCATCCCACCAGGTTCCAGTGACAGTAACTACATCATGATTTTCTAGTAGTTTTCCAGCTCCTCCTGTTTGTTTCCCAAGCTGTGTGCATTGGTTTAGAGGCGCTTCAGCTGGGCAGCTGGTCCTGTTGCCTTCATGGAGGATAATTCCTTAATTCCTTTGAAGTATTTCCCTTGAGTTTCCCTGTTGTCTTTTCCTATTGTCTCAGTGGTCCCTGGCTTGTTAAGATTTCAGTTGTTCTGCAGTGGTGCCAGTACATTTCAGGGCAGCAGGTTGAGGGCCCTACTAGCACTGTGTTCCTCTAACCTAGCTATCCTATCCCATGCTTTATTGCAGGTAGGCTCACTATCATCCCCATGCTCCTTTCAAACCTACTTTAACACCCTGCAAATGAGCCCAGCTAGCTTTTCCCCATAAACTGTCTTGCACCTCTGAGAGAGGTGAACCTCAACTGGTTCCTGCAAGCCTAGTGTCATCTGGGCCATCCCACTGTCAAAATACCCCAAGTTTTTGTGGCAGCACCAGCCAGGAAGCCAGGTTTTATAGATTGGATCGCTGCAGTTCTTTCAATGTCCTTACCCAGTACAGGAAGCAGAGGAGATGATCTGTGCCCTCAATTCATTTAGCTGATATCCCAAGGCCCTGGAGTCCCTTTTGATGGCTTTGAACTGTGTGTAGCTACTTCATTGCTCCCCACATGAAAAAACAGTAGTGCATAATGATCTGTTGGCAGTACCAGGCTAGGGAGTTTCCTGGTGATGTCTGTCCTTTACCTGAGCTCCAGGGAGACCCTCTTCTCTAAGAGGGTCTGCCTGAAATATTGGGCATTCAGTTCCCTGCAGGGAGGAGTCACAACTAATACCTGTCTCTTTTTTGAGGATGTAGCCTTGATACTGGGGGAAGGCAGGCTTTTCTAGTTTTGGTTTTGTTGGTTCCTTTAGTGTAGGTGGGCTGTTATTGTTCACAGACAGGCGTTCCACCCCCACAGCCTCATACCTATTGTATGAAGGCACCTGGGGGAGCAGAGTGGGCATGGACTTGCTTCCATTCTCTCTTCTCATTTAAGTTCTTGTCTTCAGGCTGGCAGTGAGGGGATACATGCTGCCACAAATCTTGTGCTTTCTTCTGCAGTAAAACTTTTTTTTTTTTCCTGCCCTCAAAACACACTTTAACCTGTGTGTTTCATCTTGCAGCCCTGCTGTGAGGCTGAGCAGATCATTCACACGCTTGCATCTCACACAACTGTTTTCACCTCTGCCACATGGTGCCAGAGAAAGGCTGAGGTACTCTGTGCAGCTGGAAGTCAGGTACTCTGTGCAGCTGGAAGCCTGGATGGCTGAATGTTTGCCTCGGAGTTCAGCCTGGGTTTTGACATCCTTTTTGATGAGTGCAGATAGTCTGTCTCTCTGTCAGGTGGATACCGTGACTGGGCTCTCTATTCTCAGTAGGTGCTAATCCTGCACTTAGACCATGAAACCACCTACAGACCTTACCTCTGCAGCCTACAGAGTGCTTGCCCTCCCTGCTCACCCTGCCTGTGTGAACTGATGTGCAAACTGCTGCACCATGCCCTGTTTGTCCATCCTGGGCACCGTGTTCCTGGTTGCTTGCGCTCCTTAAGGGCTGCCTGTGTACACGTGGTTGGATTCCACCATCCTTCCTGGCTCTACCTGTGCTGTATCAGAGCTGCCTCTCATTGGGGCACTGCACTTCTGACTGGGATTTTAACTGGGATTTGTCTCACTTATTTGAAATACACTCTCAGATGGGCTAGAGAATCCAGTGCTGATGTGTCCTGTTCATTTTGTGATAAAACATAATGGCATAATCAGCTCTGGGTTGGATGGCTTACCAGTGGATAGGAAGGACAGGTTTTACCTCAGTTTATTTGTCTACAGAGGCATAGCCAGGAGCTGGTGCTAGAACCCAAGCATTCATGCCCATCCTGTGCTGCCAGACTTCTCAGCCACTAAGCTGAAGTTGTGATCATTTAATTACCCATCCCTTGTGCCTCACATTGGATGTATTAAACAATATGCAGGTGAAAAAACTTGTACACCAAATCTCATTGCCAAACCTGGGGCCTCTGGCTCTGTCCACTGCTATGAGACAACTCATCCAAGAAGAACTGTAATTTCTCTCACAAGTGAAGGTTGGGTACTGCTCTTGCCATGCCTTTCTCACCAAATGTGCTGGCATCATCACTTTCCTCCAAAGTGTGTAAATGGAAGGCTGAACTTGGCCCTTAGGGAAAGGTTAGAGGATGCTCTTCATTACACCATTATCTCCACCTGTAGTCCTGCTGGCTTTCTTTTTCTCCTTGAAACTTCTGACTGAGAGATGATCTTTGTTATATCTTCCCCTACAAGAAAAATAGAGCAAGATCTGCCAGATATTCATTAAAAATTTTGGCCCAATTCTGCTCTTTCTGCACCTGGCTTCTGTTGGTTGCTTGGGTGTCTTGCTGGAATGGGAGAGTGTAGCCCTGGGAGTTCTCCCTGCAAAATGCCTCCTCCAGGAACCTTTGCAGCAGATGTCTTTCAGGTATGATTTCCAGCTCCAGACCTGCTGGTAACAGTGATCTAGTTCCGCTGATTCTTCTTTTCCATTTGTTTCACAGGGGGAGAAAGTGGCAGAACTGATTCTTCACCATGCTCGGGCCAACCAGTGCCAGGATATTGAGCGATTCAAAGCTGAAATGGCAGAACTAGTGACCAAAGTTCGAAGGAACACCATTGCCCTAGGAAAGGCAAGTCCACAAACCATATCCCGCCCTCCTGTAGCTGTACTTCAGTGCAGCTTGGCTTTTAAAGTGGTCCAGGTGGAAAGGCCAGCTGTGATCCCATCAGCACCATGCACTACTTGGAGCTTTTAGTGTCTCAGATGAAGTTAAGTCTCTAAAATCTCTTCCTAATTTCCTCTAACTAAGAATTAAACCATGTGTGTTTAATTCTGTTCTTTAGATCTCTAACATCTGCAGTCCTCTGTGAGGAGTCACTAAACTGTGTGTGATTCTGTGTAAACGTGATGTTACAGCTTGTTTTCTTTTGGTAAAGGCCAGCCTGGCACTTCATAGAATGTAATACAGAGGTATTGAGGAAATTAATGCTTACCGTGTATTGCTGTAAGGTTTGCAGCCTTACTGGGCTGGCAAATAAACAGAACCACAGATCAGAGCTGAACTCCTTACCCGGGGCAGGGTGGAAAAGATCACATCTTGTTGGCCATCTTCAGCCCAGTAGTCTTGTCTCACCACTAATAGTAAAGGCTAACAACACTTTGAATCCTACCTGTCATGGATGTGGCTCAGTTGTCTCGAACAGGGGTACTCTGAACAGCCATTAATTCTTCCTTTTGTATTCCAGCTCCAGGTGGCAAATCTCCTCTCCAGTGTCTTTAAATTACTGATGACACATAAGGTGAGGAGCTGTTACAGTCTGCTTTCAACAGCTGGAAGTTCCCTGGGGAGGGAGAAGTACTGGGATTGCAAAGGACTGATGAGGAGGGGGACTGTGACTATAATTTCTTTGTGCCCTGGTGTACCTTCATGCAGTGGTAGCACCTGGGTAGGAACTGTTTGTATATAGGCAGAGCAGGGGGCTGTTTCCTCTCTAGTATGTAGAGCTCTTTTGTGGCCCTTCAAAAGGTGAGCTGCCCCTTACCTAACTGCATGTGTTCAAGCAGGTTGGATACTGCCATGGTTTAAAGCCCCATTAGCAATAGTGAGTAATCCTAACCTTCTGCTGCTCTAGTATGGAAAATTACATGGAAATGAGAAATAAATTTTTGGGTTGTCTGAGGGTGCTTCCCCTGAAACTATGTTCTTGTTTTTGTACCTGCTTAAACTCTCCCCTGCTTCTCTCCCACTTTGCCAGAGCTCGTACCTGTGTGAAATGAGCTCAGAAGGTCTGCTGTCTCTTGTGCTTCTAGGTGAAGCTCGAGAGCAATTTTGCTTCCATCATCTTTGCCATCATGGTTCTGGAAGGTCTTGGTCGTTCACTGGACCCTGAACTGGACATTCTAGAGGCAGCTAAACCACTGCTCATCAGAACTGCAGCTTCTGTCCTGGAATAGACACTTGTGGCTGCTGCCCTCTCATGGTGCAGGGTTACCTGTGGTGCCTGTGAGCTGACAGGAGGAAGCTGAAGTTGAGAGCAGTTCCACGTGTCATGGAGGAATGCCACGTGGTGGTAACCCTCCATACTCTGCCTTGAACCCTGTCAGCTAAGCAGCAGGCATGGGATCTTCGTGAGGTCTGAAAAGGTCTGTTTCAGAAGCCTTTCTTTTCCCGGAAGATTTTGCACAGATGGAGAGTTCTGACTCTTACAATTATGTGGTTCTATGAGCTAATATGCTCTGGTAGTTTTTAACTGACATGTCATGTAGCCTGTGTGTAAAAGATCACTGTGGGCTGATGAGGAAACCAGTCTTAATTGTCTAAAAGTCTTTAATAAGATGTTCAGTGATCAAATTTGTCTTGAAATGAATTGGGTTAAATATTAATTTGCTGGCTGATCTGTCAATATGGTATAAAAAAAATGATGTTCTGATGCCACCTGAGCAAGTAATTCAGGCTGAAAAAAGCCAGTAAGCCTTTTTGTCTTTTGTACTTCTACTCTGATTGTAGAATTGCCCTGAGTTCCTGTTCTTGGTCATTTTGAATGATAAAAACAGACCAGTATATTGATTTTTTTTTTTTTTTTTTTTTTTTTTTTTTTAAACTATACTGTACAATCATGTATGTATGGCAGAAAAACTAATTCCATAATAAAAACAACTTTGGGGAATACTTGTACTGGTCTTAGTTTTTGTTGAAGCTTTAAAAAAGGCTTAGGAAGGCTTTCTCCTTGCTGTGCTGTCCTTCCCTGCCTCCCAGCCCTCACCCTATGCAACTCACAGCCTTAACTCATCCATAGAGGTGTGGTTTTTCTCCTTGGGCAGTTTGCAAAACAAGGAGTCCAAATATTTTCCTAAAGGATGGAAAACACTGTGAATGTTTAAATCAAATTTAAGCCAACAAATGAGCTACATCATATAGCTTTTACAGTCCGTTATTTTAATAAAACTCCTAATGTTATTTTATGGCCTTATTTTTATGGTAAGATACGTAGCCTATGAATGATTGGAAATATTGTCATGCTAAATGCATTTCCAGATAGGCTTCATGTGCAATTGCAGCCACACACGGCTCTGTGCAGTTGCCTGTTCTCAGCTGGTTAAGCAATGAAGAGAAAGCACATATGCAGATGATCTGTTTAATGGTGATTATAAAACGATGATTAATGATACATAAATGAAGTCTGAAAAATTAATTTAGAGTTCTGCTCAGTGTATTTCATGCGCTTCCATCATGAAATACTCCATTTCCAAATGTTTGAGGATAAAAAGCAGCAGCAGAGTTTAATGGTAGCTTTCAAACTTTCTGCTTGAGTCTAAGCAGGCTCAGACTCAAAACTAAGTAGGTTATTGTCCTAAATAGTGCATGATTTTGAGTAAATAACTCTGTCTATATTAAAAAAAAAGCAGAGCAAGCAACCTCTGAACTTTGCACTGAAGATAATCTCCGTGTGCTGCCAGCACCAGTAGTGTGTGTGCCCTACTGTGTGTCTGTACCCAGCGGGTGCCACGCACAGCAGCCTGGGCTCAATCCCCATCTGTTATGCAGCTCATAGGCACAACCACCCACATCTGCACCAACAGCAAATATCAGCCAACTTTATCCTGAGGTGAAATAGAGCTTAAACCAAATGGTTTAACAACTTAATTAAAAAAAAAAAAAAAAAGTCAAACCTTTACCTTATATTTAGGTTTATCTTTGTTTCCTGCTGCATTTTTTAAACACATAACCCTCATGCTTATTATGGATCCTGAAGTAACAAATACTCCTTTTAGCTATGAAGACCTCAGAATAGTTTGTAACCACCTGGATGCCTTAGCCTTCATTCTGTGGGGGAAAGCAAAGCACATGGCCCTCAGTTAGCTCTGCTAGAACACAGTCCAAAACTTAATGCTAAGAAATTGTTGGCCGTGCAACAGATTAAGCAGAATTTCAGAAAAGAACTCGCAAAGGGGACTTCTTAACCTTTTTATTTTTAGAAACTACTATAACTGAAAATGTATTCCTGTAACAGGGATGAATTTTTCTAATACCTGTGCTCTTGGCTGAGTGATATTCCAGAAAGTGCGTTACGTGTTTCCAAGCTGCAGCACCTCAGTTTCGTATCCACTTTGGCTCTGGGTGCTACATAAAACAAGGTATCTCATGTATTTTATTCCCATTACTTTATATCTTAGCACACCTTTATGAAAAATAAGAAGTCCCTTCATTGTAGTTCTGGACGTGGTACAGTTTGCTGGGGCACTCATTCTCGTTTCCTAAATACCCATTTGAATTAAATCATTTCACTGCCCAAAGCTAATGATAATGGCATTGTGACACCTGTATTTGACACCTGCATTTTATATGGTGACAACTGTAACTTCCTCATCCCTTTTGTGAATGAAGGCACTGCTACTGATCAGAGCACAATCATTAAACTCATCTCTCCTTAATGTTGTGTAACAGCATCTCTCGGTATGCCTTATTTTTTCTGTCCTGGAGAGGGAAAAAGATGGCAGCTTATCCATGGGAGCATCTGACACCACATGCCTCACTATCACACTTCTGCTATCACAGAAGTGAGCAATGCACTTGAACAGGGGCCAACAGGAGCAAGTTACATCTTGGGCTCCGGGTGGTAACTCTGTTTTACCCTGCAGTGGGAATGGGGAAACTTGTGTAATGCTGCTGGCTATCCTGGTTTCTTACACAATTTGTTCACTCATTTTTCAATTTACCATTTTGTAGCATCCTTCTCACTTATTTGTGGTGTAGCCTATTTATTCTGATCGTGTGCCTTACCTGCACAGATATGCCTATCTTTCTGACATAAGATATCCAGCTTTTGGAGACAAGCAGACCAAAAAATGAGATAATAGCAAAATAGAATCCCTTGCCCACCACTGGGTTTGGTGATTCTCCAAAGACAGGTATTTCAGAAAATTAACATTTTTGTCACTATAATGCCTAGAAACTGTGTCTTCTCTCCGACACACGCACACACTCTAAGTCATTCTTTCTCTAGGGAAGTGACCTACATTTTCTGAAGAATACTGACAGTGGAAGGATCTACACTCACTTGCAGCCCAAGCTGGATGGTTCCAAGCTGCCTTACCAGGTTTTTGGGAGCAGATCTCACATTACTGGATTCCTGCCCTGCCTCCTACAGCAGTTCTGGACCTAAAGCAGTTGCTGGACGTACCCCAACTTCATCATATGTATGGACCTCTTTCCTATGGATCTCTGCAAATCAGATGCAGTGGGACACTTGCAAGTGTCAGCTGCAATAATGGCAATAGCAATGGACAATTGATGCTGTATTTCAGCATGTACATTTATGTTGCTGCACGTTTTTTTTTTTCCCCAACCAACCGGTCTCTGAGTTCTCCTTCCCTGTACGTCATGTAACACTAAGATTGCAAGGTAAGTCACATGACAGCATCACGTGGCTTTACTTACTATTTGATGTTGTCCTTGACCTTTAAAAAACGTGCTCTCCTGGTCCTGTTCTGGAAGAAACACAGAAGGGCAAAAAGTGTCCAGAAATCAGCAGTGGAAGCCTCTCCACGCTTGTATTTAATTCCCCTGCAAGCTGCTATAGCAGGACATAATCTGTATCTGTGCCTTCTACCACTTGAGAGACTCATTCCCAGGGAGCTCCTTCTGACCTTTGTGTTTTTCACTTAGTAAAGTGTGTGACCTGTGCTCTCCCTAGAGAAATTCCTTTCTCTGTCATTTGCATTTTGAAAGCAGTTACAACCCGACATCCCTCTGCCAACTTCCAGCTCTTTCGTAGCTCTACTCTGTATTGTCCCATGGCACTGTCATCAGTCCTAAACTACAAAACTAAACAGTACAGATGCTGACTCTGTGGGCTCCTACAAAGCTGGCCCTTTTCAGATGCCTTTAGGGCAGGATGGCAGTACTCTAGCTATTAAATACCACCATGGCTTTTGGTTGCAGAGATGAGACTTCAGTGGAGTTGTTGCCTATGCCCAAAACTGAACAACAGTCTGACCAAGATGAGAGCCTATGCCACAGGCAGCTGGACCAGAGCAGTTACTCCAGGAAGAAAGACTGGTAAGGGACAGAGCAGCAAAAACACATGCTGGCTGCAATGGAAGGGAGATACATGATTTCTCCAAGAGTTGTATTTGTCACAACTGCATTCTTGCACCCAAAGTGCAGCACACTGACACACACACACACACACACACACACACATTTGTGAACTGATCAAGTGCCTGCTTACCCACTGCAGTTTCCTTACTCTAGTAGTGATGCTCGGAACATCAAAAGATTCTGTTCTCTGAGGTATTGCTGGAGGTCACAGTGTCTTTGTTCTTCTTTTTGCATCTTCTCATGTAAACGATCTCTGTTCTGGAACACTTTCCTTTTGGCAGCCTGGTGATGCTTTTGTTGCCTGTCCTGCTCCTCTAAGTCTTGTGTCAGCACTGCCTGCCGTGACTGCATTCTGTTCCTCAAAAAATCCTACATTAAAAAAAAAAATGACACTTGCAATTGCGCAGCCAGCTTTAAGTCTGAATTTCACCCCCAGTTATCACTGGAATAATGGCATAATTGATTCATTGATTCATTTCTATTTATTAATGACATAGGGGGTAAGCAAGTCTGTGGATGAAATCAAGCTGATTGGTCAGCTGATACTTCAGAGGGATCTGGATGGGCTCAGAAGGTAGGCTGATGTGCACCTCATGAAGTTCAAGTCCAAATACAAGGTGCTGCACTTGTGTCAGGGCAATCCCATAAGTAGAAACTGAAGGCTGAACAGACTGACAGCAGCTCTACAGAGGACTTGGCAACACCGATGGAATAAAAATTGGGCGTGAGCCAGCGCTGCCTGATTGCAGCCTGGAAAGCCAACTGTGTCATGGGCTGCATCAAAAGATGGGTGGCAGCAGGGGGAGGGAGGTGATTGTCCTTATCTACACTGCCCTCGTGAGGCCCAATCTGCAGCACTGCATCCAGGCCTGGGGACAGTGGCACAGGCTGCCCAGAGAAATTGTGGATTCCCCATCTTTAGAAGTAATCAAGGTGGGGTTGGATGGTGCTTCGAGCAACCTGATCTAGTAAGAGACGTCTCTGCCACGGCAGGAAGTTGATCTAGATGATTTTTAAAGGTCCTTTCCAACCAAAACCATTCTATGATAATTCTTGGTATGCAGGAAGGCTACTCCCAGCACAGATACAGATTAAATTCCTATCTTTAATCTTTATACACGTTAAAGAAATAATAATTTTCATGTACATATCTCCAAATGGTACAATTATACTGGATATACAGGAGAGAAAGATACATATGCAGTGCCACTGCTGGAAATACAGTACATGTAAAACTTCCTTGAAATTTCCCTTACCAGCCTTTCTTTTTCTTGTTTAAAGCTCCGCTCATTGAGTTCTGCAAGAAAATTCTCTCTCTGCAGTCGCTGTGCATGTAGGAACTGCAGCCTCTGACTTAACTTTCTGTTATCCTCCTCTGCCAAGAAGGATTCCTTCTTGCTCCTCTCTGACTGAGCAGCTTGCAGCAGCGCCATGTGCTGCAAAGCTCTGTTTTTGTGCTCCAGCTGTTTCTCCAACCCTTGCAAAGTTCTCTGATACAATCGCTGCCTGTTTACAAAACAAAATTTCAAAAACTGCATAAGATGTTAAGCACACATTGTGGCCAGCAGAGAGAAGTAATCGTGTTCCCCCCCCCTTCTCTGCCTTGGTAGGCCCAATCTGAAGCACCCCCAGCACGAGAAGGACATGGAGCCGCTGGAGCAGGTCCAGAGGAGGACCATGAAGATGTTCAGAGGGCTGAAGCACTTCTCTTATGGAGAAAGTTGAAGGAATTGGACTTATTCAGACTGGAGAAGAAGAGGGTCTCAGGAGACCTCATTGCAGCCTTCCAGTACGTGAAGGGAGATTGTAAGCAGGAGTGGACCAATTTTTTTTTTTTATACAGTCTGATATTGATAGGACAAAGGCATTCCTGAAAGAGGGGAGAGTTAGGTTAGATGGTAGGAAGAAATTTTTACTAAGAGGGTGGTGAAGTGTTGGCACAGCTGCCCAGAGAAACTGTGGTGCCCCATCCCTGGAAGTGCTCAGGGCCAGGTTGGATAGGGCCCTGGGCAGCCTGAACTGCTGGGTGTAGCCCTGCCCATGGCAGGGAACTGGAACTAGATAAGCTTTAAAGTTTTCTCCAGCCTCAACTATTCTATGATTTAAATATGCCAGGACTCTTTGTTAAGTTATGAAGGTTAAACCTGTATCCTAAACAGAGGCAGCAAACTCCCCAAATGGGCTGGTGCCTGATATTATCAGCTAACTGCAGTCACATTCACATGAATGCATGACCTGGCAGGGATGTGCGCTCTTGGCCCTGAAGACCAAGAGTGAAGGAAACAGGCTGTAGGGACCAAACTGTAGGGAAAAGCCAGGCAGCTAGGTAGCTTTATGTATTGCTGGTGGTACTGCAGGAGCAACAAAAGAGATGGAAAGAAATAGGCCGTGGGGGCAAGGACCTGCTAAATGTAAGGGCAGGGGGGAGAGGAGGCAAAAGGACTCCAGCTCTGAGGATGAGACCAAAGGGAATTTGCCCTCAAGGTAATGCTAAAGGCTACAGCTGGTTTGCACCTACTCACTCATGCACCAATTCATTCCCATTAATGAATCTCCCTGAGCACTCTGCAGGGACTAGCATAACATGCCATGTTCGGAGACTGAATGAGAATGCAAGGAGTGGGCATTGTCAACCATTTGATATTTATTTCCAAAAAAACCCAAACCAGTTGGCTCTGGTTTATTACCTCTGGTTGTTCCTGCGCAGCTGACATTGGACAGCATCTGCCTCTTGCTGCTGCTGCCTCTTCAACTGCCTCTCTTCCTCTTGGTGCCTTTTGTGCTCAATCTTGGCCTTGTTGAGGTCCATCTCTTCCCATCTCTCCTGAGATGCACTGTTACATACAGATTTCTAAGAAAAAAAAATGTATTACAGATTCCTTATCAGATATTGTTAGAAAGAGAAATATCTGCCTCCCTCTGAGCAAACACAAATCCTCCTGCAGCTCTAACTCTCTGTTGCCCAAGATTTCTGCCCATAGTCAAGAAGTCTTGCTGTTTTCTTCAGTAGTAGCCACATTTCAGTACTGGGCAGTGTTCCTAATTTGAATTTTGAAATACACTGTGCTGTGTGAAGGAACACTCACAAGGCTTCTCTTCACAGATACAGTGCAATATTTACTTCTGTTATCCTTATAATGCCCTACCTGAGGTAAACAGCAAGGAGACCATCAAAACTCAAACGTGCTCTAATTTCCATTTCTACGTGCAATGCTACAATGTGATGGAAAGTACAGCAATAATAACAGAGTGGGCAGGGATCTCCAGCAAGATCCCCTTACCTCCACTGCCAACCCTTACATGAGGTCTGGGAAGTGGTAGATCCTGGCTCCAGCCCTTATCATAGAATCATAGAATCACCAAGGTTGGAAAAGACCTAAAAGATCACCCAGTCCAACCGTTCACCTATTCCCAATAGCTCCTACTAAACCATGTCCCTCAACACAACATCCAGCCTTTCCTTGAAAACCCCCAGGCTCGGTGACTCCACCACCTCCCTGGGCAGTCCATTCCAGTGCCTGACCACCCTTTCTGAAAAGTAATACTTCCTCACGTCCAGCCTGAATCTCCCCTGCCGTAGCTTGAAGCCATTCCCCCTGGTCCTATCACTAATGGCACAAGAGAAGAGGCCAACCCCCAGCTCACTACAACCTCCCTTCAGGAAGTTATAGAGAGCAATGAGGTCTCCCCTGAGCCTCCTCTTCTCCAGGCTGAACATTCCCAGCTCCTTCAGCCTCTCCTCATATGGCCTGTGTTCCAGACCCCTCACCAGCTTTGTTGCCCTCCTTTGAACACGTTCCAGGGCCTCAATGTCTTTCTTGCAGTGAGGGGCCCAAAACTGGACACAGTACTCGAGGTGCGGCCTCATCAGTGCTGAATATAGGGGAACAATCACCTCTCTGCTCCTGCTTGCAACACTGCTTCTGATGCAAGCCAGGATGCCATTGGCCTTCTTGGCCACCTGGGCACACTGTCGGCTCATATTCAGCCGAGCATCAATCAATACCCCCAGGTCCATTTCCTCTACGCAGTCCTCCAGCCACACCGCCCCAAGCCTGCAGCGTCGCCTGGGGTTGTTGTGGCTGAAGTGCAGGACCCGGCATTTGGCCTTGTTGAAACTCATCCCATTGGCTTCAGCCCAGCTCTCCAGCCTGTCCAGATCCCTCTGTAGGGCCTCGCTACCCCCAGGCAGATCCACACTTCCAGCCAATTTGGTGTCATCTGCGAATTTACTGAGGGTGCACTCGATGCCCTCATCGAGGTCATCAATAAAGATATTGAAGAGGACAGGCCCCAGCACCGACCCCTGGGGAACACCACTCACAACCGGTCGCCAGCTGGATTTGACTCCATTTACCACCACTCTCTGTGCCCGGCCCTCCAACCAGCTCCTTACCCAGCCAACATTACATGCACCTGAGCTCCCCTGGGTTGGCCCTGCCTTTCCACCGCTGTCTCAAGCCATGACTTAGCAGTTCTGCTACTACACCATGGCTGCTAAAAGCTAAAATAAAGTTTAGACGAAATACTTACTCTCTCAAATGCTTTCTCCCTTCTACTCCCAGCAGCAATTGGCATGTTCCTGCCATTAGCCACTCTTCTGCAAACCAAACGTTCTCCAGAAAGAACTGGAGGGAGATATCTCTAATACCATGAGCTGGGAAATGCCACAAGACCTTCAAATCATGTCCACTGCCTCCCTATTATTACTGTCCCTGCCAGTCTCATTGTTATTATAGGAGAGGCTCTCAGAAATGCTGAGCACAAATAGCAGAAGAGCCCAGTTCCTGTACACCACTGAATGGAAACCTTACCCTTCCACTTACGCATAAACATTATTCTACATGTGCATGTTTTTTGTTGCAGCAAAAATCTTTGGGAAAGAGATCAAATGGGAGTATAATCTCACTTGACATAAACAAATCACCCAGTCCTAATAGCTAAAAGCTACTGGATCAAATACTCACTGAAATGCTTCTGTCTTTTAGAAGACTTAGATTTGTGAATCTCCCAGCTTGTGAACTGGAGGTACTGCGTGGTCTCTGTACATGCAGGGCTGATTCAATGGCCAGGCTGTCTTTCTTTAGTGACTGATGCACTTGGTCAAAGAAGCTCTGTCGCTGGAAAGGACTCAAGGCACTGGCTCCTTTGGGAGAAGTGCTCCTTTGGGAAGGTTGAACTGGAGCATCTGCCACTCTGAACTCAAAAAGACCTTTTAAATAAATTAAGCAGGGACATAGCAAGTAGGCAGCTTATAAAAAGAAAGAAGATTTTAAAAGTCTTTTCACACGAGATATGTTCAAGCAAGACTTTTATAACAAGTATCAATGTTTTCCTCTGACAAAATGAGATGTTTCTTAGTCTCCACAGAACAGGTCCCAGTGCTCCAAAAAACAAGCTTGCCATTGCAGTCAAGCATGTTTTTTACAGGATCACTTTAATACAAGATAATTGACTACACTTACAGCTACTCAGTTTAAGGGTTTATTTACATGTTACTTTGTGGACAGGCATGAGATTCTTCTGCCAGTGCTCTTAAATAGCCAAAAATGATAAATATTTTGATAGTGCAAAGCCTCAGCTATGAATCCTACTGAGAGACAGGAGAAATCAGCATGTGCACAACACTGCTAGCTTTTGGGTAACTGAGAACATGGGCAGAGTTTGCTTGAATCTTCCTGATAAAGACAGCATAGATTGAGAGAGCAGTTATTGCATGGAACAATGCAGGAACATCAGCTGGGAGGAAATACACCCTTATGTTTGACTGCATTCTCCCTCCACCAGCACTGCAACTGAGCACTGCAAAAGCCGTAGTACTTGGAAAAAGCTTTAAGCCTTCAGAAGCCTTAGTGAAATGCTTGCACTTATCCCAACAGTAGCTTAAATGAGAACAGTACCAACTCGATTGAAATCACGATCCAAAACCTTTTGAATGATAAGGGAACAACAGTGACATTGCAAAGCAAAAGTTTTCAGCACAAATAAGAAAAGGGGTGCTTCCTGTAGAATGACTGGTGAAATCATTTTGCTACGTCCAGTCATAGCTAACACTACAGATGACTTTTTACAAGAAATTTTTTTGAATTAATAATATTTGTAGTAAGTGTTACAATAAAAGTTAAGAAAACCCCAAAGCTGCTACTGTAATAGCTTTAAAGGCAAAAAAAAATGAAAATCAAACCCAAATCACTCCAACTTCCATCTGGAAATAGTTTCACCCTGAGAAAAAAAAAGCACATCTCAAGCCAAACTACCAGTATATCTAGGGTGGCACTAACATTTTTGTTTGACACACTGGGAACTACGGCAGTAGAACACTGTGGCCCTCCACAATGATTCTGTGTGGAAAGCCTTATGCCTGGATAAAATAGCTACAATTTCACTACCATGTTTATGTTTAAAATGAGCCTTGGTTCCAGCATCCTGCTGTCTGCTGCCTGCTTCTTCCTTGTGGACTGACTCCATCAAGCAACTGTCTGTGTTGACAGCAGTATCAACCATTGTAGCACGAGCCATCTCCCTCTGAGGACTCTAGAAATACGAAGAAATGCAATCATAATCTGACCTGATGAGGAATAAGTTAGCTTTGTGAACTTAGAGTGACAGATCTTATGTTGCAACTGAAGTTTGGGAAGAATTAAAACAAGTGGGGTAGAGTTCTTCACTAAAGAAACAAAGAACCCTTAAATAGATTAATTTCTCATCATGTTTCTGTTTTCTCCACATCTTCAAACGACCTAGAAAGTGGCCTGGAATTGTCTGGAGGGGCACAAAAAAGATCAGGCCAGAGAAGCTCTGACTGGAAGGCAGCTGCATTCCAGCTCTCACAGAGCAATGGGGCAAAGCTTGGCAGCAGTTGGTGCACATCAACCTCCTCCTTCCTGATCCCCACCCAGTGCTCCATTCACAGGCACCAAATCAGCCACTAAGATCACAAAATTCACTTTTGTGAATTTTTGTCTCTGATTCACAGAAGTGATACCTGCACCCTGGGCGATGAAATCTTTTCATATAATTATGCCAAGGACTGCCCTGGTATGGAGGAATCCTTACTATAATCCTTATCTGGTATGAAGTTTTTCATCTGACACTTTTTTGTGCCTTTTTCACACAGAGGCAGAATGTGGAAGAACTGGGCTAGACACCCACATCCAGTGACAAAGAACAGCAGCTTTTAGCTCCTTCCCAGGTCAAAGGATTGGGAATACAACTACAAATAAAGTCAGAGTCTCCATTCTTTAGGAGGCATACATAAGGGCCACATCCAAAGCCATTAGTAATTTTCTGATACCAAGAACAGAAAACGTAAGCTAACAAAAAAGAAATCATGCAGATAGCAGACTACGTGTTAAGAGATAGTATGAAATACCTTTTACCTTCTTAGGGCCTAAAACCTCACTGTCCTCTTCCAAGCAAGACTGAGCATCTTTTGGAAGATTTTCTGTCATCAAGCTCTTCTCTTCATTTTCCTCTTCCTCTTTGGAAACACCTCCTGAAGGGGAAATCCTCACTTCAGACAGTTGCTCTTCTATTTTCTTGCTGAGTTCTTCTTTACTCAAGGGTGCTCCTGGGATGATGAAATTTTCTTGCTGCACTTTGTGCTCTGTAGGCTGTGGGCTTTTGCAGGCTGCAAGGCAGCAGTGGGGAACTAAGGCACACCTACAGCTGCACTTAGTGCATGGCTGAACTGAACACAGCCGCCCTGGCCAGCAGTCCAGCCCTGAGTGGCCCCGTCTGTAACAGCCTGAAGCTCTGTAACCTGGTGCCACAATGTACGGGTAGTCCAAGCTTGACTCCACCACCATCTGCCTGGCTGCTAATGGCATCTGCAGTTCTAGGATGATGCGCTCGCTTAAGGGCAGAGGGATCCATAGAGCTTGGTCAGAAGATACCTCCTTAGTTTGCCCATTCCAGAAATTTACAAGCACTCCTTTTCTATTGTGTGCTGAGCACAGTAAAAAAAGAAAAAGAGAGAAAGAAAAGACAAAGAACATATTAGAAACATATCAACCTGCGTGACGTCTCTCTCAGAAACCAGATGATCAAAATGACTGCTTGTGTTACACACAATTTTGTTACAACTTTTATGAGTTTTTTACTTAGAGGTTTAGAATTCGACCTTTTGAATTTCCTATGATACACAACAGCAAAACTCCCACTAGTCACAGTGAGCCAGGAGCTTACTCCATAAAAGCTGGAAACCAGACTAACAGCTTATAAGGTGAAACTCATAAGGGCCAGGAATATTTTTCTCCTTGTGTTGGCAGGACCCCCCTCTCCCAGCAAAAACCCTCAGTTTAGGTTTCCATTCACAGAAGAAAGCAAAGGCTGGTGCTGGGAGCTGAAAAAGTTTGCCACGGAGAAAAAATACCCACAAACCAACCAGGAAGAGAAACTAAGAAGCAGTTGGAGAATTTTTCACAGTCAAGACTGTTCCATCTTTTCTACATAGCGGCCATCAACTGTGGCAAGACCAGAGCTAGAAAGGAAGGCAGTACCCCATACCTAAAGGTGTCTCCTTGTTCTCCATAACCTTGAGCACAGTGCCTGGGCCAAAGCGTTCAGTGTGAGCCTCCCATGGGGCCAAGACTCTGTCTCCTGGAGCGAGGCACCGCTGCGAGGCACCTTCGTAGTGCAGAATGTCATAGAGAGGTGTTTCCTGCATACGAAGCTGCACCTTGCCTTTCAGTGTGCAACTTTTGTCAAATTCAATTAAAAAACATCCCCTGGAGCCCTACAAGAGTAAAACATGCAGTTTGCAAGACAGACATCTGGGTCCAATTAACGGCCAAACACAAGTGCTAAAAGGAAAATGGCAGAAATCCCAGGAAGCAGAATGTGATCTGTGAATGTAGTTGTCCTCTACCACCAGGTTTTTCGCCATGCTGTATCCATATTGGATTTTAAAAGTAATTAAAAAGCAGTGGCTTAAGGGGCTTAACAGCCTTTCCCTTCCTTTCTTTTGGGACTTAGATTTTAGTAGGTTAACCTGGCTCAGAAGAACACAGTTGGCACTCTGAGAAAGAAGCTCACCAGGAAAATCATCCATCAGAAGAGCAGCCAAAATGAAGTACTAGGTATGATGCAGCTAGAGACAAGCAAAGCAAAAGGATAAGAGATAAGGGAAGTGTCACAGCTACCATGAATTTGAATGCCTTCACTTAAGCTTCCAGCAATGGGTGTGGGGCAGATTCTACTGCCAAAAATCTCAGCCTTCTCTGCAGATCTGGGTGCATTTACATGCTGATGGCCAACAGTTATTCCATCCCTCTACTAGGATCACTATGTATTTAACTAAACTGTGAACTGGAAAAACGAATTGGATTTTTAAAGAAAGACTGCAGGGGACATTTTCTATCTGGTATCCTAAACCATGTCACAGAAACACAGAAGGAAGAGATCGATGAAAGCCCTCAGTTCAGTCAGGAGAAAGCAGCTTCTGGAGGTGGATGTTTTGAATTACTATTACTAGCACACAGTTGGGAAATGAAGGACTTGTTTGGTTTGACTGTTTCATAACCAAGGAAATTGATTGATTTCCAGACTGCTTCTGCTTGCAGAACTCTTCCCAGTAAATATCCCATCATCATCAGAAAAAAAAGAAAAAAAAAAGATGAAAATAAGATACGGAGAGAGAACTGTGCTGTATCACAGGAGAGCAACTCTGCACCAGGGCTATGGGACTGGCAAGCCATGGCAAGGGCAAGAAAAAAGACTCACTGAACAATAAATAACTACCTTCACTTGTCGTGCAATGTGGCCCAGGTAGTAATAGCCATCAGCTTTCCTCCTTGCCAGCACACGAGCCCCCCTTATAAAACTGGAAGCCTCTGGGGATGAGTGAGTGAAGTTCCATCTTGCTGAGGATATCAAGGAAGTACAAATGGAGTCTGGGTTCCATGCACAAACAGGAAGGCTGTAGAAAGCAAATACCAGGAGACCCCAGTAACAGTACTTCTGCAGCTTGCTGTAATGAAAACAAACCAAACCCACATGGGATCTCTCCAGCCCCCGTCCCTCATAGCTGCCTTTGTTTCCTAGCTTTTTTCCTTCTCTGCATGTGACTCATCAACAGCTTTTGAACTTACTGTGTTAATGGACATCCTGGCAGCACAGAGCCATAGAGAGCTTTACTGGCTGTGTGACAACACGGGACATGGGAGGTGTGCATGGAGATTATCTGGAGGTGGGAAGAAGATGGAAGCACAATATGAGCAACACGAGGCTTTTGAACACTTAAATCTCTAAGCAGCAATGTTATTTATAAAATGGAAATTGCTTTCCAGTGTGGTACTTCGCTCTGATTTAATTATCACATCATTTCTTTTGCCACACAATGCTGTTTAGCTGTACTCTCATCACAAACAGTCTTGATCTTAAGTAGCTGAGCTTGGGGAGGAGGATGGCATGTGAAATGTTTGAGAATGATGACAAAGGTAACAAAGTGCAGGGACAATGAGAGGAGTGAAAGACAATATAGAAGGAAGTAGGGAAGTTGTGAGGACAACCAAACTACGAGCTCCGTATTACAGCATTCAGTTTTTGTGAAAAAGACATGAAACAAAATGTAACAAACTTATATTGCATTAATCAAATGTTCAATAAAAACAGCAGTTCAGTAGTTTGCCACTATTCCCTGTGAAGCGTTGCTGAAATTAAATTGTCTGTAACAAAACTGACGAGCAGGGAAGTTAAAATCCCAGTAACTACACGTACCTTAAATCTTTGTGAGGATGGACATGTAAACTCATGTTACATCAGTTGAGGACTGTTAGATGCAGCAGCTTGGGATGTTAGAAATTTAGAGCTCATTTAGAAAAATATTATCCATATTTTATCTTTATATTTAATTAAAAGATGGTATTCTGCCACTCTGCCTATAGGTAAAACAATATCAAAGTCTATGAATGAGAGGTAGGCAAAGGAGGCACAGGAGGTAGGCAAAGCTGTCAAGTCACCCAGAAAAGAAAGCATACAACCAAGGCCTGGCACCTGTGCTTTCCTCTGGCACCTCCAGCTGCCAGTGACAACTCCTTGCATGTGCTGGTTGGCAGAGTTCCCTGGAGCCATGTGATGGCCCTGCAGAAGCAAGTACTGCTAGGCCAAATTAAACCTGGATTTGACCCCAAGTGTCTGTGTGCCTTTTGCTTAGAAGCTATGGGGAATGTTCCCTTTCCTCTCAGACAAAGACTTCAGGTACAAGTAGTGTACAATTAGAAGGTTGGCTATGCCAACATGTTGCCTTAGGCCACCACAGAGATGCCAGATTTACTTAGTTTATAAATTACCAGGCAAAATAAGGCCACTGGAGCTCTCCTCCAGTTCTGATGGATGAAATGCCATCCAATAAAGGTTCAGGAGGGATAACCAGTATGCACTGTACCTTTGCAGGAGCAGCAGGGGGGGCTCTGATCGCTTGAGAGGACCCCCCACTTTGTCTGGCAACTTCCTCCATGACTTGTTGCTTGCCTCCTTCACAGGCAGAATCTCCCAGTGAGCACTGTGGGTACTGGACACACCTGTTGTCCACAAGAAGTTGATTTCCTCCTATTCTGCAAGTACGTCAGTGAACAGCTACACAGACTGGTGGGCTGTGGCTCCACACACTGCAGGTAAGCCATATCTGCTCAGGGTAATGCAGGTATGCAAGGAATCCATTCTGCAGAAGTTCCTTAGGCAACATTAGGAGTTGGCAACACTGTGGAGCTGGATACGCTGACTCACAGAAACAGCAAGGAAGGTGGAGTGAAGACACTGAGGCCAGGCTCTATGATACCATGATCAGGATGGGAACTTGATGTTAATATGGAACTAGTAAGCCTCACTTTTGCCACCCTGAGCCAACAGGGTGCCATTCTTTGACAAAACACCATCCTCTGGGTGAACTTTGTTCATTGTACCCTCATTATGAAACCAAACCATGCCTCCACCCTAAAAGCAACCTGCCTCCAAGGTGCAACCACCTCTCACTGAGCTCATGCTCCGAATTTCTCTGTAACTTTAAAAGCAAGGCAAGAGAATTTTACAGCATTCGTAAACAAAGGCACGTATAACTGGAGTCATTTAAACTCCACGTGAAAAATAAAGGAATAGTAGTACAGAAACGGCCTAAGAGAGGGAGGGCACGGTTGTATAGGTCTGGGATCAGCTGATGGGCGGAGGGTTCTCTTCCCTCCACAAGGACACGTGATGGCACTTCACCAGGAAACTTAGAAATCTCTGTAGAGTTGCTTTTACAACTTCACGTGAAAGTGCTCACCTGGGCGAGACGTGAATTCCTTGACAGGGCATTTCCGTACTTGGCCAGGTCACAGCAAGGAACTCCCTGCAGCCGAGGCGGGACTCAGCAGCACAGCAGAAGCCCTGCCGCTCACCTCCGCACTGCACAGCGCTGCTGCCTCTGTCCGCACACCTCGCTGCGCCGTGCTAGGAGCGCCCCAGGCCGCCTAGCAGGCGAGAAGCCCCGCAAGATGCAGCTCAGGGCCGCCGGGACAGCGGCCGGCCCGCACCCGGGCAGACCCGCACCGGAGCGTCCGCTCCCCGTTGCTGCGCGACCAGACGCCGTGGGCTGCACCAACTGCGTCGCCTGGAGGGGGAAAGGAGCGAGCTTTTTCTTCACCTCCCTTCTCAAACCGCCTCCTCCTCGGGTGAAAGGCTCGCTGCAGAGCCCGGAAGGTCCCTTCGCTCCTTCCCACGTATCCCCTGTGGGAGATGCCTGCTCTGCACAGCCGACTGCCGCACCCGTGAGCGAGACGCCACCACCTGCCACTCGGCGGATCGGACGGATCGGGACGGCCGTCGCGTGGTGGGGCGAAACGGACCATTCGGGGAGGCCAATCGGAGAGGCCGTTGTTGGTAAAGGCGGAGCGGACCGATCAGGGAGGTTGCCAAGCCGTTGGCTTGTGACATTGGGGAGCCGCCATGCTGGCGTCGCTGGGGCGTTCGGCGGGACGGCTGCTGCGGGCCGGCGGCGGCGCGGCCGGGAGGCGGCAGTGAGTGGGGCGGAACGGGGAGAACGGGGGCGGCGGGGCCGGGGCGAGGACGGCTGAGCCGGGAGTGAGGCGGCGGCTGCGCGTTTGTTGCAGCGCGGGCGGCGACGTGCACATCGAGCCGCGATACCGGCAGTTCCCGGAGCTGACGCGGTTGCAGGTGGTGCGGAGCGAGCTGCTGAGCGGCTTCATGTGGTTCTGGATCCTGTGGCACTTCTGGCACAGCTCGGACAGCGTGCTGGTGAGGCCCGGCGTAACGGCGGGGGGCGGTGGGGCCGTGGGGCCGTGCCCGGGGCGGGATCTGAGGGCGTGTCGTGGCGCAGGGCCATTTCCCGTACCCCGACTCCTCTGCCTGGACGAATGAGGAGCTCGGCATCCCGCCCGACGACGCCGAGTAGGCACCGCTGGCGCAGAGGTGAAGGTAGGGGCGGGTTTTGCGCTCTCGCCGTCTCTCCCTGGGTGCCGTGTTGAGCGGCTACAGCTGAAAGCGGCAGGGCGGTGTTGGGGTCTGCCCTGCCCTCAGCTGTGGGAGGGACTGGCCGGAACTTTCTTGGGAGTCAATTCGATTGCTTGCAGGTCTGTGGAACTGAGGAGGCCCTGGAACTGATGCTTTGCTCTGCTGTCCCGGTCTCAATAAAGTGAGCTGTTGACAAATGCTGAGCTGTGGTGTTGTTGAGTGCCGTAAATGTCACATTCCTTCTCTTGGAGAGTTCTAGAATTGGGGTGTTTGAGTCCAAATGAGCCTGTTTAATCCTTGTGAAGCGTTTAAAGTGCGCCCCTCTCACTGAGGTGATACATCCTTGTTCGGGCAGTGACTTACAGAGCACATGAATGGGTGGTAGGGAAGGACTTAACCGCTGAGTGGCTGCCAGCCACTAGAAGGGGCAGCAAAATTTGACTCTTTAAATCAGTTTTTCTACAGTTCTAAAAGATTTCTTACTGAAATCTTGTCATAAAAAACGGCCTTGAGGCTTAGAGCAGCAGTTGCTGCAGGAGCAGGTGCAGCTGCAGCTGCCTGAGGGAGAGGGGAAGGTGTGCCCAGATCTCCTTAGGTTGAGAGGGAATCTCCTTCAGGTAGCAGAAATCCATCACTAATGCTGGGAAGTGTGCTGAACACAGCATTCGAGGAATCATAGAACCATAGAATGGCCTGGGTTGAAAAGGACCACAATGATTATCGAGTTTCAACCCCCTGCTGTGTGCAGGGTCACCAACCAGCAGACCAGGCTGCCCAGAGCCACATCCAGCCTGGCCTTGAATGCCTCCAGGGATGGGGCATCCACAGCCTCCTTGGGCAACCTCTTCCAGTGCGTCACCACTCTCTACGTGAAAAACTTCCTTCTAATACCTGACCTAAACCTTGCCTGTCCCAGTTTAAAATCATTCCCCCTTGTCCTATCACTATCAACCCATGTAAACAGCCCCTCCTGTTTATAAGCTCCTTTTGAGTACTGGAAGGCCACAATGAGGTCTCCCTGGAGCTTTCTCTTCTCCAAGCTAAACAAGCCCAGTTCCATCAACCTTTCCTCATAGGAGAGCTGCTCCAGCCCTCTGATCATCTCAGTGGCCCTCCTGCATAAGGAAGACAAATGGAGGTGGGTTACTCTCTAGGTCCAGTCTTATGTTCCAAACTAACCATACAGAAATAAACTTCTATTAAATTACTTGTGGAACGCCGTGAAGAGAGTGACTTGGGAATGATCCGATAAACAATCTCCTTCAGACTTTTCCATGCAGTCAATCTTTATTATAGCAGTATTCTCATATTCACATCAAGTACATAGAACTTTTTGCCTTTTATATAATACAGAGTTCTTTAAATAACTTTACACAGAAATAGTTTTCTTTAATCTGAATTCAGCTATCAAATTTTAATATGTTTTAAGTCTCCATGCTCTCTAACCAAACTGGACAATATTTCCCATTGTACAAATTTACATGAGAAAAAACTCCAAAATACAAATGAAGGGACAACAAAAGTAAAGGGGAAGGGAACAAACAAGAAAAATAAGTTGTATTGGCAATTACAGGGGAGACTCGAGAGGGAAAGAAGGGGGGTTGCCATGACCTTCTACGTAACAGAAAACTGAAAATAAACATTTTGTTATGAATTAGAAAATAAATACAAGTTTCCAAACAATTACTCCATTGTAAGATTTTTGAAAAGCAGCCATGGAAATCTACTAGCACAATTGCTTTTTTTTAAGTAACTGGACTGGACCTTTTATTTTGTCGTCGTAAGCCCCTCACAAACCTCTGGTGGTCAACAAAACACAGCAGAGAGGAATGTTGTGTTAGCACAGTTCAAATGGGTGGGACGTACGTTTCATTGCACTAAGAAACCAAGAAATCAAATCTGTATATGAATTTCCCTTTCCTCTCCTTACTAGTTTGCCTCCCATAAACAAGCCTCTGTATTATGAGGTAATGCCAATGTCTTGACTGTGTATAAAAATAATCAAGTTTAAAGGATACAGATCTCTGTATCTATAAATTTTAAACGTGCCAGTCCTTTCTTACTTCCCCACAGGGTCCAACGACCGAGTGCAGCACCTTCCACCCCGTTTAACAAAAGTATGCAGTAAGCCTCCTGCAGAACCCCAAGTGAGACTGCTGCCCCTTTCCTAACCTAGGAAGAGCAGCACACGCTCAAGTAAGAAAGAGACAGGGCAACCAGTGCGTGACTGGTTACAAGCAGGTATACCTGCTCCTTCAAAACAAGGCAGAGTCATGGAAGGCAACAGCGGCCAGTCTGCACGTGTGTTTTGACAGAGGGAAATGGATCCAATGAGGCAGCTGATGACTTTTTGCAGGTGCTAAAGTGTCATCTGTCCAGCCCTGGGAGGCCGCCAGGAGAGCTGTGGCAGGGTGGGGAGTCATGGGCAAAGGGCTGGCAGGGGAACCCCAAAGGAGCTGGGGGGACTGCGGAGCAGACGGGCCGGCTCCCTTACCTGAACACTTGCAGACCTGCTCTAGCAGCACGGGCTCCCAGAGGAGTCTCAAGGGTGGCAAGCAGCAGGGAGCAGGACTTTTCCCCAGTCCCAGCAGCTGAGATGGGAAGAAACACAGCAGTGTGATTTGGGTTGCCAACACATGCAAGTTGGCTGCTGCTGGGTATCTGTCAGTTGAGAAGGGTGGAGTGGGGAAGGAAGAGGAGACAAGTAGGACACAAGGCTCACAAAGGAATGATGTGCATTTTTGTTTTCTTTTTTTTTTTTTTTTTTTTTTACCCCTAAAGGTTCACAGCTTTGAATAAAAAAGCACATTTATTGCACTTACATTTTATTTTAGACAGAGTTAATTTAATTTAAATTATGCCCTCACAATCCCCCACCATCCCGAAATAACCCAACACCCCCCAGTTTGGTCCATTTTGCACCCCATACCCAACATTTGTGCCCAGACAGTGGGCTTCGTTTCTTCTGTTCCGTTAAGCTCAAACAGATTTTCTTTTCAACTACGGTGATTACACAAATGCAACACAGAATGACATTCAGCAAAACAAAAGTTAACCATTTTCCAAACCCAAACGAAAAAGAACGCGATCCTTTGCTTTTCCGTGATACTGCAAAGCCAATGTCACACAAGGCTTATTCTGAAGTACAGCTGCTGCAAATGCCATAAGCTGGACAAAAGGACTGGACAGGCCTCGGCTGGCTCTTAAAGGGACTGGAGGAGCTGAGCACACTGCTGCTCCATAAAGCAAACACCTAGGCAGTTCAGAAGTTCTGAACACTCCCATCATTTCCCTTCTGGTGGAAAAAATAGGGAAGTAACTTCCTTGTGATTTTGTATTAGAAAGGACAAAACACTGTCTCTGTATGTATACTTTTAGTGCAGAACTTGGGGTCAGTAAAAGAATTTCAGACAGTTTCTGCAGTGTTAGTAAAACGTTTTTTAAAATTATGCTTATTTCTAAAGGGAACAAAGAACATGTTAAAATCAGCCTGGGATTTGTACGGGCTGTGCATTCAGACATAACTCTGCCACTTACAGTTAGGCCCAAAGTCTCACACCAAAAAACAAAAGGAAAAGATCTGCAAAAGAAAAAGCACTAACAGCAAAATCCATTCTTTCATCCTTATGGACAAACAGGTCAAACAGGACACCAGTATGTAGGTACTGCCAGAAGCCTCAGTGAGCAGCAGGCCGCAATCTGAACAGCTCAGACTCAGACACACCGGCCGTCCCTCAGCAGACAAGGTACCTATCCTCTCCCAGAATCACTGCACAATGACACTTGGCGTTGTGAAACTGCAAGAGGCTTGAGGAAGAGCTAAGGAAGCCTGCTGCTATTCCATAAAACAAAATTAATTGCACTTTCAGGGCAAGGGAATTCACTGTATTTCATTACATGAGTACTAGCCATCAATTACTCCTAATTTAGTTCTCATTTTCACCTATTGTCTCATTCTAAGATACTATGGCCATATAATAACTTCAGCCCTCTCCAAATCTTTATATTACTTTAACAGGATCCTTGTGCCTCTGGAGGGAAAGGAGGGCTTCTTTATTTTTTAATTTAAATTAACCTCATTTCAGTTTCAGTAGAGCAGGTTTCAAATAGCTGTAACCAAGTTAGCATACTTCAGCTCCTAGCTCCGAAATGATTGCAGGCATTTTTGGGAATGCTCCCTGCTCTCCTTGCTCCTTTATAGAAGTTCACCAACTTCAAACCGCCTATCTATATTAACAGCTATATACAAAACTACTGCATCAGAAGTAAACCAAAGCCACTGCCCCACTTACAAAGCACCTGGTTTACATTCTGTTGTACTTTTTTAGGTTGCGAAGGCACATGATCATTTGGCAAACTGCAAAGACTCTTCTGGGGGATCTTTACGTAAACCATTTAACAGAAGGTCTTGGTAGCTCTATTTTCTGAAGAAAAGGTACATGCCAGTTTCATACAGAATTTGCCCTTGGTGTCCTTTATATTCTGCAGTTTTTAAGAAGTATCCTCCACAATTTCATAATTACTTAGTGCTGTCTTCGTGCTGACTTAGTAGCTTTTATGTTAGCATCATTGCTCTGCTCTTTCAATGACTTCATTTTCTAGGTAAGAGATGTATCTGCCAAAGCAAATGTAGAGTGCAAGCACACATTAACATGGCTGCAGTAAACAAGAGTTTGTTTCATGAACTTCTACGTAAAATGAAGAACAGAAAACCCAGCACCTTCAAAGTGATGCCACAGCAGCCCATTCATGCAGCTGATTTTTCAGTGAACTTGATTGTACCTAGACGCTTTGCCTGCCATATTGTGCTACTGGTGAAACGTTTTTCAACGGACAGAAAGACACGTTGTCTACAGTACTATGGATAGTTTGTGCTACGCATGTTGTACTCACAGTCAAGAAAGGAATTACATTTACAGGCGGTAAAGGTGTGAAATCTACACGCTTCTTCCCTAAATCTAGCCCCTTCAGTTATCAAAACCTTAACATACAGCTGATTGTAGGGTTTCTGAGGATCTGGCTGCTCCAAATACTCTGCAAAACACTGGAGGTGCACACAGAAACAACCCTATTTATGAACAACCTCTGGTGTTTCTTCCCTTTCCCTTGTTCGTGGAATTTCTGGTATTTATCAACAGCCAGCATTTCATTATGTCATAAAGGCCAAATTCTGCCTCCAATGAGCACATACCAATCCAGGCAATTCTAAGAGGCCACAACAAGATGGCTCTGTGAGACCTCAAATGTTCTGCATCACCATCAGCTACGAGAGCATTCCAGTACAAGAAAAAACTATTTTAGGTATGCATGAAAAATAGAATGGGATTCATGTAATGGTATGCATGAATTTAAAGAATAATTAAAAAAACATACAGGATTAATTCACGCAGAAATTACTTTCAAAATAACGAGGCCTTTGTGCTGATACTTTTTGGCTTACACCTTGCCAGTGTTCCAATTCCAGCCAATACACCATAGAAAACAGTCACTTGCTGAAGAGGGAGATGTAACAAGTCTCTTCTAACTGTTTGGAAAGGGGAAGGTGTGTGGTGAATAAAGACCCCGTGAGTAGCTGGGACTGGATACTGGTAGTTTTGAAAACTTATTAGATACTGCAGTGCTGAAAGCAACGTGACTGTCTAGATGTTTGTCCCAACATATGCACACAAAATACATGCTATCATTTCCCACACTATGGCATGTGTTCGTGTTTGGGATGCCATAAAAAAGCGTAAGAAATTTGGTGCAACTGACGTGAATCTATTTGTCATTTCAATTTACTTCCTGCATTCTACTGCTATACAGGATCCCCAGTTCTTGCCTACTCATCTCTCCATTCACTGAACATCTTCAGGGCAACTTTAAGACTGATTCTGATGGCATGTGAGACATCCATTACAATTCTTGAAAGATTAAAAAAAAAATTACAATTATTTACAAACCAAATTTCTTCCAAAGGTTTCCATGAGTGTTACAGGGGACCTCTTAAAGAGAAAACACAAAATTACAGGGAAACAAATATGAAAACCAGGAGAAACGCATCCTGAAATGACTTCTCTACACAGCAGCCAAACAACTTGCACATTCCTCAGGGAAAAATAAAAACAAACAAAACAGAGAAACAAAACAAAGAAACCCTAAATAAGAAAAACAACTAACAAGACAAAGACCATCTGTTACTTATAAAGTGCTTTGCATGGACAAGGAGAGCAATTTTCCTTGTGCTTTTCCTATGGGCTCAAGAAGCATACTGTAGACTAATGGGTAATGAATCTCCACAAAAATAAGTTCATTTTAAGCAAAGAAATTCCTAACAGTTATATTTTAGCAGTTTTCTGCTCGCATGACCTCGTGGAAGGAAACTAGGGCTTTTAACAAGCTCTATGAAACAAATGACTCTTGAACTACCTGTACACAGTCGCTCAGATAATCGTTTCTTTCAAGAGAATATCAATTTCCAGTATGCCCTACACTTACAAACCAGGCACTGCCTACACAAGGGCTGACACAACGCACGGGGTGGCTTTACCCTTCTGGAGCTCACACCTGGGCACGCTCCCGGCCTGCTGAGCACACAGCCCTGCATCGCTTCCACCTGGGCTCCACACCATCGCTCACCTCAGCAGCTCCTCCGCACTGGGAAGTGGCTATTGCTACTATGGAAGTTCCTGCCAATCTCAATAAGGAGAAAAGCCTTACAGCATCTGAAGACCCACAGCAGACAAGAAAAAAATTGTGCTTTTTTTTTTTTTTTTTTAAATGCATCCTGTACACAAAGTCAATTCTATTCATGTATCAACATGAATCGCTTCATTCTTGTAGTGACTATTAAGTCATTTACTATTGCTGTCTTGCTAATGATTGTGGAATTAATATGAATACACAGTATTTCAGTTATAATTCCCACTTCAGATTAATCGGGTCCCTATAACCCCAGTAAATATTTTCTGACAAAAAGAACAGACTACCAGCAACACTGCAGAACTCCAAGGCTTTAGAAACACATTCCACTACCGATGTGTGTTTCTCCCATAGCCTGGAAGCAGCGTTGTGCAGACAGGAACAGTCCAACTCCTTGCAAGGGAAGGACAGCGTCCTCACCCTTTACACAGTTTAGTACAGACACCACGTTACACACATTTAACTCCTTCATTTATTTGCCGTGATTTTGACTAACATCCTCCTCACCCCAGGAACCTCCCAGCTAGAGGTGGGTCAGTTCTGCCTCAGGTGGGGTGGTACAGGGCAGACAGGAATCAAGTCCTCAAAACTTCTGAGCTTGAATTTCTTTCTAATGTGGTCTGACTTGCCTTTGTACAAATAATTTACATGTAATACCACATACCAGAGAACTCCGCAAACAGATCACATCACAAGATATTCTACTAGAGGTAAACAATGTGCAGAATTGGATGAGTTATTTTCCCTGACTGGGTAACTTATAAGAAAGCTACCGACCGTTTGAAAACCAGGACTGGAGGACAGGAAAACAGAGCACTCCTAAGTAGATACCGCCACCGTCATCCTAGTTTGCAAAGAGTACAAAAGGGAAAGACAAACGGAAGGGAAGGAGATCACAGGGAAGAAAGCA